CGGATGAGAGTGAGAGGAAGAGAGATAGTTGAACGTTATGTATTATGTAACGCCGTAAAATAAAAATAAAACGAAAAGAAAGCAGTCTGGCTCTGAAATACGTTCGTGCGCGACAAAGACATAGAGAAAAAACGCTCGCTTTCCTACCAAAATTCACAACTGATCTGGCCCCGCAACCTAAGTGCCATTATTCTAACGAAATTCTTTCGATTCTTTCTTTTCATGTGCGATTCCCCTAATCTATCGAACCTGCCTCCATGAAAAATCCATGAAAAAACCCAATGAAACAATGTACACAATCGCCTGCTACTACAGGACTAGTTGTGACCTACAGTAAGTCTTCTCCAAACACCTCAAGTTTTGTTTTTAGGAACTCAGTTTTGTGTAGATTATTTTTGCAACCCCTGTACATGCATTACACTTTCAATCTAAATCATACTCTTATGCTTTTGCATACACACACACACACACACACACACACATACACGCATACGCATACACATATATTACGTAACAGACACACGCGAGTGTATGTATAACAATTTTGCACGATACCTAATTTTCTTAGATATACATTATGCGTGCTGACGCATTGTGCTTGCGTATGTTTGTTTTATCGCATCGTTTTGCGTGTAATTGCATGTGTATTTTTCATTAGTGCCGATGTTATTATTATTATGTGTATGCTTTTTACATCTGGATTTCACTCATAAAACATATCAGAAGGAACATAAATAACAAACGACGAACGTAAAAGAGAAAAATAAGCTACGCATTAAAAGTACGTTTTTTAATCAACGCGTAAATTACTTGATATCAACAAGCAACCGTTTTTAATCCAGTTTACAATTACATTTCACCTCATTTACACGTTAACAGCAGTTTCCGTGAACCGAGATATTTCTTAAAGCTCTATCACATTTCTCGCTTGTATTGTTAAAAAAAGAAGGAAAAAAAAACGAGATTCATCATTGAACACCAGCCGCTTTTTTGTTTTGCTATTTGTCAATTAGTGTGTTGGTTGTTGTGTTGTTCACAGTGCACTGCAAAATGGACAGTTCACCGATTGTGACAACCCATACCAACAACAAGAGCAAGTCCTCGCGTAAGTCCTTTGTTTCCCAAAGCAATTTCCGTCCAAAATTCTCGTGATCAAAAAAAAAAAAAGATAACACGGTCCGAGCGACAAAAGTTAAAAAACCTAACTGAATGCATCGACACCCGACACTCACTCCGAGTTCTCTACGTTTACTATAGTTTCGCTTTAGTTACGCTACGCTCCATTTTGTTCTTTCTTCACTATCCTAGATGTGCGATATGGATGAAATGTTCGAAAGCAATAAAAAAGCATGCTGCGGCACCGTGATTTCGCACGCAATTGCATCATATTCTTGCATCTAATCTTTTTTTCTTTATTTTTCTTTCAAACGATCGTGCCTTGCGATCGCTTTTCTTCTTACCACGATGTATGCGAAACACTTGGATGCTCCGGGACGCTTCAAAACGGAGATTCAAAACGCGTTTGAATGAAAAAGATCGATGGAATTGGAGAGAACTGCGTTTGAGTCGCCCGGAGCATCAAAGATGAGCGATGTTGAATCGCTGAATTTTTTCGTATGTAACGCAATAATTTTGAAATGATTTCACGGCATACGGGCATGCGAAAAATTGTGCGTTGGCATGCGTTGGATCGGCTATGCGCGAGTTCTCGCTAGCGTACATAGACATTTGACATTAAACAGACCAGATTCTAAGATAGAGAGACACATACAAGTAAAGGATGATTCTTTCACTAAAGTGGGAACTAAAAGAGGAGATATATTTTAGAATCCACCTGCGTTTGGCTTTCTTGGTTGTGTCTTGTTTTTTGGAAATTTCTTTAAACTCGTTGACACGAGAGAGAATGTGTGAGTGTTACTTTTCTTTTTTCTTGCGGGATTTGACACGGTTGGCCGAGCGATAGAGCGAATGTTAAGAACGCGCGGTCTAAAGTTCTGTCAAAATTTCGCACCACCGGCCCTCGTGTTAATATAATGAACTCTGTTTTCGTGACGTTGCAGTGACCACGCCGTTGTTCACACCTGCAGTGGGGGTCGCCGCGGCGGGCGCAGGCGGCGCTGGCGGTGCAGGTGCGAGGAGTTACGTGGATCCTCACACCTACGAGGACCCGAATCAAGCCGTACGGGAATTTGCGCGAGAGATCGACGCCGGATACATCACGATAGAGGCCATCATAGGTACGATTCTATATATATATTCTATCAACGACAATGTTTTTTCATCTCTACAAAAAGCACTGTTATCGACTCTAGAATTCTTCGTTACAATTCTGACGATTTTTTACGCCCGCAGGTGGTGGAGAGTTCGGCGACGTCTGCCGAGGAAAGCTGAAATTGCCTCCCGACGGACGAACGGAAATAGACGTGGCCATAAAGACTCTGAAGCCGGGCTCCGCGGACAAGGCTCGTAACGACTTCCTGACCGAGGCATCGATAATGGGTCAGTTCGAACATCCTAACGTGATATTCCTGCAAGGTGTGGTAACTAAGAGCAATCCGGTGATGATTATCACGGAATTCATGGAGAACGGCAGCCTGGATACTTTCCTACGCGCAAACGATGGCAAGTTCCAAGTGCTCCAACTGGTAGGCATGCTGCGCGGCATCGCCAGCGGCATGCAGTACCTCGCGGAGATGAACTACGTGCATCGCGACCTCGCCGCGAGAAACGTGCTAGTGAACGCCGCCTTGGTTTGCAAGATCGCCGACTTCGGACTGAGTAGGGAGATCGAGAGCGCTACGGAGGGAGCCTACACGACCAGGGTGAGCGATAGATTCGAGTTGCTGAATCGATACGAACAGCAGGATACAGAGGGCTCGATCGCGGCCAGGACTACGGCTCCTGGATTAATCGATCTATTCTCAATCGTTTATGTTCAGGGCGGCAAAATTCCGGTACGGTGGACGGCACCGGAGGCGATAGCGTTCCGCAAGTTCACGAGCGCCTCCGACGTCTGGAGCATGGGCATTGTTTGCTGGGAGGTGATGTCGTACGGCGAGAGACCGTACTGGAACTGGTCGAATCAAGATGTGATAAAGTCGATCGAGAAGGGCTACAGGCTTCCAGCGCCGATGGACTGTCCGGAGGCTATCTATCAGCTGATGCTCGATTGCTGGCAAAAGGAACGCACTCATCGGCCGACCTTCGCTAATCTCACGCAGACTCTGGACAAGCTCATACGAAGTCCGGACACGCTCAGAAAAATCGCTCAGAACAGGTAAAAGCATTTACGTCTATTCGCCTGATTTGATCAACGAGTTGCAATCGTAACGCGATAGGATTTCGAATCTTTCTTAGGACAATGCCGTAAAATCGGTGTTAGGAGAAATCTATATCGCAAATTAAATGTCTAGCGAACAGTGCAATCTTCATCATCTTCATCATTTGAACGTAATTCAAGCAGATACGACGGAATGCATAAAGTATAATCCGGCATACAGCGAATGAAATTTGCTTAAGTGCTTCGAGCGCACGTTCGCAAATAGTTATCACATTTCAGTTTCATTTAGCATTATTAACGTTCTTTTGTTTCTTTCGTTGAATCGCTCGTTCATTACATCTTAATAAGAATATCACGCCGCATGCTCCACGTGAGTTACGTATCGTGTCCATAAATTAATTTCTCTCGACAGCTAATACTTGTTTTCATTCATCCGCCGAAACGCTCACGCGGATCGTGCCACATCCGTTTTATGCTACTTAGAAACTGGACTTTGACATTGTGGCTCATTGATGTGTGACGTTACGCACAAGCACACAATCGTACACACACATATATGATGTGCATGTACTCGAAAGGAAGACTACCGATTTGTGCAGACTCATGCACCCGCGTCGCCGTCGTACCACGACCTGATTGGCATTACTGGAAACGGGCATATACATACTGGACTGTCATCATTCGCAATTACTTTTGTTCGTGCTTTTTTTGTTTTTTAAGAATTTCTCAGTATTTTCTTAATCTCCCCCAAATAATAATCGTCAAAATTTATTTCTAAATGCATCTACGCTAAACCTCGATATTTATTTTCCGACGCGCACCGGAGAGAAAGAGATCACCTACTACATAGTAGATACTCGTTAGATCCGACATGAAAATTTAAGTCTCTCTTTCCTCTCACGGTAGCGCACACTTTCCGCGCGATGTCTCGCCGCGTGTGAAATCTTAATATCGAAGAATTATTATTTACGTACTTTGAAGAAACTACTTTGCGCTCGAGTATATTTTTTTGGCTCGAGCCAAGTTTTTCAGTCAGCTGGCGTGAAAATTAATTTATGGACGAAAGTCTACTTTATTAGCTGCGTACCTTCTTCGCGTTTCGGGGGTTTCCGACGTAGTCGAGATCACGTATATACGACGACTTTAACAGAGCTTTCGATTGCTTTTGCCGCTTATCGTTTCTATACTCTTTAAATTTATGGTTCACGCAGTTATTTCTTACAAGACGCAGTGTAATATAGGGGCTAATTTTGTACTTTGCGTTGCTTTTCTTCTCGATGGGTTTCGACGAAATGTTCAATTTTGCACCGATCGAGGATCAATAAAATACGAGACGCGAGATAAAAAGAATCTGTTTATATATCGCAAGTTGCGTTACTTCGCGTCACTTTGAGAGAGTCGAAGCTTGTAACTGCAGGGAAATCGGCAAGCCTCCTCCCTAATATTCTCCGAATATCCCATTGGCATGAACGAAAGAATTATTATTTCACGTATCTTTCATTCAAGTTTTTCGCGTTTATTTTTGATGCCAATGGGGCGCAGTATTCGCATTCCGAAGTCTCGTTGGTTTCTCTCCTATCCCTTCGAAATCCGCCTCTTTTTCCCTGGGCTAATTCTTTGTGCTTTTGGTTTTGTGGTGTCCTTTGGTACGTCCTGACTACGAACTACTGCAACTGCAACGCAACTGCGACAACTATCGTCCACAACAACTACAACAACCTACAGCGTGAGGCCGCCTGCACACAATCCGTACTATGTCACAAGCCATACGGCTGCCGCCCAGGCTGCGGCGGCGGCGGCGGTGGCGGCGGTGACGATGCCACCAGGCCCAGCCGCGAGCACGGCGGGTCCGTTCGTAGACGTAGTCGGCCATCAGGCCCATCAACAAGCCCAGTCAGCGATTGCCGTTCCAGTAATGCCACCAGGAGCCGGCCGTAGCTTACACTATCACACACACGCAGCGACACACGCACTGCCACATCAACAGTCACCGCTCACCTATCCCAATTGGGTCCCGTTCTCCCATTTCGGTTGAGCGGGACTCGGCTTGAATTAAAACGAGCAAAAGCATCACCCTCCGCCCGTCTTTCTAACCATCACAACTAACGCCTGGCATTTAAACCGGACGTAATCTCAAAAGACTGCATTCTATGTATCGTTACGATTTGCATTACTTTCTAAGATCGCGCGCTAGTCGTAGGGAATCGTAGGCGCTTTTCCCGCGAGTTATGTAGTAGAAACGTATAATCCAAGTTGTGTCGGACGAAATAGTAGATGTGAACGAATATAGGCACGCGCGCAACCGATAGGACATTATTGGAGCGCTATAGACTATGTGTACAAGTGTAGAGCCGTCGTAAAGAAATTTCTTTTTCAGTCTTTTCATTATAAATTATCGACAAATGCGAGGAAGTAGAGTAGATATATATATATATGTTAGGAAATATATAGAGAATTTCTACGTTACATAAAGCTAAGCAATAAATTTTACCGTATTAAGAGTTAGAGCATATATTATTAATTAAAATTGAGATACATTAAGAGTTTAAGAATCTCCAAATTTTATAGAGAATAAATTCAATCATCGAATAGCAATATGGGTTTATTTATATATATATATACGCGATTCAGAGCTTAGAGAGCGAAAAATAATTCAAAATACGTGCATGAAAGCAGCTAGAGTCTTTCATATGTTAATTATATATTAGCGGTTATAACTTCGATGGACATACGTAAAAAAAAAAAGAAAATATATATAGATATGTATACACACGTATTTATAGAGGGTGTTCCGGAACTCACGCTATTTCTTTAAGCTGCAAATTCTTTGGCCAATTTAGACTCGTTAAACATAGTTTTCGATAAGGAAAAATTATCTGCAAATTGCTCAAAAGAACAACCGTGGATAAAAAGAACAGTCATAATTCTATGGCACCCAGTATATCATTTACGCAAACATAAATATTTATCGTACAATATTTATTAAAATTATCAATTTTATCTTAACGAAGCCGCAAAGACTTATTAGCATGTGTACAGCACGCGCGTGCAACCGGTTGACCATTTTAGAATAGTATTTTTATACGTAATATATTGAATATGAAAACGATATATAATTGCGCAAGACCATAATCATAATATTAAATTCTAAAACATTTCCAAAGGACACGATAAAAATCGCGACACGCCATTCTAAAAAGGAAACCATTTGCATAACTTATTGATTGCAAACTACTAATTTTTGCCAATTATTTCTCGTTATATATTTTGCAAACATTAACGAGTATCAAAAGCTTTCCGCTCCTCATGAATATTTATAAACCGGAGGTGAACATTTATCCGCAAACAAAAACGATTCGCCGACATTCTTTCAGTTATATTTAACAGTTGGAATTATGCAAAATTTTTTATTTGTTACTTTTAATTTTGCGAACACATAAATTATTTTTTATTTATTCCTGAGTTAAACTCACTCAAAGTTGCTCATGAAAAAAACTAATGTGAAGATATTCGCGCCGACACACATGCGAGTGATAGGAAAGAGATAAAAAAAATTCGAGATTCAAAGTACAGACACGAGAAACTAGCCTGCGGATAGTAACACACACCTAGTATGACCTCCATTGCTAATAAATGCTAACAATTGTCAGAATCAGGGAAAGGGGTACTCCATCCCCACCCCCACTCGCCTCGTCGGCATCTTCCAACGTGCATTTGAGGAACAGGTAAAGGAAAAAAAAATAATAAAAAAGAGGATCAAAAGCGGCATTCCCACACCGAGAATCCCCTTTTTTGCGAACGAGAGAAAAGAAAGAAGCGCAGAAGAACAAAGTGCAATCATTTCTGTTTCGTCCAGTGCCCTAGATAACACAAAGTTCGCCCTTTAGCGTTTCGACGATTCGATTACATTGACTGTGCTTTCACGTTCTCTCTCTGCTTCTTTGACGCGATAATGAAATATTGCCGCAACGTAGACAGCAGTCTCCCTGCTTGATAACCCTCTTAGTTTGTGTTGCACTGCTTGCCTTCATACGCACCGTGATCCATTCACGATTACATGTACAAGGTGTCCCAGACTAACTGTACCACCCGTTAATAACAGATTCCTGAGATTATTTGGAGAAAATTTGTATACCAAAATGTCGGAGTACAGTAATTTTTAAATGCAAAGTATTTAAAGTTGGCCGATTAAATTGTTAAAAATTTACTCGCTCAGGCACATCGCATATTGATTTTTATATCCTTATCATATGAAAAATCTTATTAACGGATGATACGGTTAGTCCGAGACATCTTGTATATTTTACATTATTTTTCAGTCTATTCTCTTAAAGATGTTAAAATAAAACAAATTGGATTGACTTACTCAAAAGAATTATGTATTTATTTATATCTAATAACTATACATATTAAAAATTGCAAATTTTTTACTGAATATTGCAAAGTTTTTATGTGCATTACATTACATAATATTTTACGTGCAATATTTTGCAAATCAGAAATAACAAATCAATGATTACTTACCCTAAAATTGCTCTGCCGGCACTCGATACCCATTACTTTAGAGTAAGTAATCATTTATTTGTTATCTGTTATTTGCAAAATATTATGTAAAAAAATGTAGCGCACATAAAAAACTTTGAAATATTCAGTAAAAAAATTTTG